AAAACTTTATTTGATGAGTCACTTCATATTCTTGAAAAAAAGTATATTAATCAACAAGGGTATAAAGGCAGCCATTTGTTTACGGCAGGGTTTGGAAGTTACGCGCAACTTGCGAGTTTTTAACGTATATTACGTTTACGATGTAATATACGTCAAAAAGCGTAAAATATTCAGTATATTACGTTTTCAATATGGCGAGCGCAAGATATGTATAAATATACTTCAAATTTGAATTTATACACGGAGAGAAAAATCAAGCGTTTTTAGTATGGAGACTTCCTATGGTAATTTTGTATGAACGCCCTGCTTAAAAGGCATGTTTTTATACCTCAGTTGCATGAAACATATACTAAAATAGCATAGATCTCTTGCAATCGTAGTATACTGACGCCCCATGCGTTTAAAGGTAGAACTTTTATGCTGATAACGTAGAAATTCATACAAATACAGCAGAAATTTTACGCCTATTGCGCATGTGAATTCTTTTACTAAATAAGGTTAACTGTCCATACTAAAAACGCTTGATTTTTCTCTCCGTGTAGGTTATATTTATAACTGTTATCTGGACGGCGGAGAAAATAAAGAATTTTGTTACAATATTATATAATGCAGTATAGTATAGACTCCGCAAATTTCAATATTAACGTATTAATTTTTTTGTAAGGATGTTCACTCATAACATAACCTTTAAAAACATATACCTTACAATTTTCCCTACTTATTAAACTTTGCATAATTAGACGATAAAATTATATCACATTTTTTTAATTTAAATGTTGGTTTTTATACACACTGTAAAAAAATCTGGTGTAAAATAACACAAAACTTGTAATTTCACACATCAAAATTATAGGTTGTACGTAGTAAATTTATTTCGTTCCAAAAGTAGTTTTACTATTTTTAATAATTTTACATTATACGACTATGTAATTTAATAGTTTTGTGTAAATTTACTACGTCCGACGTAGGAAAATTTGATCACTATGTCCGACGTGGTATTTTTACATTGCGTGTATTTCTACACTTTGACGTAATATTACGTCGCACGATCTGTACAATTACATGGCGAATGTAATTTTCTTATTCCTTTAAGATTTTCGAAAAATTTTCAAGTTTTTATAAATAACTCTAAAAAAGTGTATATAATGTACATTTATAGAAAGTATATGCTAATTCATAAGTAAATAATAATATTACAAAAAGTTTTGGGCTATATTTCATAAATACAAAAAGTTACGACTGAAAATATTATTTCAAAAAATATTTGCAGGTTATGTAGATTACAGTCGGCGTGTAAAAATACCACGTCGGACATAGTGACCAAACTTTCCAACGTCGGACATAGTAAATTTACACCAGATTTTTTTACAGTGCAATTATACGTAAATCGCATTATTTTTCTGATTGTGTGTCAATTGTTTTAGAAATGTCTGTAAAAAAAGGGTGACAAAAATGCGACCGATGCAGACAATTTGCAGTCAAAGACATTCATCTTCGCAGGCAGATGATTAATAATAAACAATTTGTGGTTATTATTAACAATGTGGTTATTGAATTACAAATATTTGAGGTTATGTTATGCACGTTTTACCCGCTCTACGCATGCGCCGTAGTAATATCGACAAAACGTAATATACGTCTATTTTCGTAAAAAAATCAAGACGTAATATACGTAGTAATATACGTGTAGAAAACTACGTATATTACCTTGACGTATATTACGTGCGAACCCTGGTTTACGGTGATCCACTCGTGTCCCAAAAATCATCGTAAACAAATTGGCTGCCTTTATTCCCATGTTACTTACGATATTTTTTATTCCCAATGCACAAAAGTGTCGATTTCAGATAGCAGACGACAGGGAATAAAAGTCAGTCACTTGTTCGACTTATATGAAAATGGCGGCCGTTTTCTCCCTAGGGCAAAAATAACGCATGGGATCAGCTGTTATTTTTGCACATGGGAGAAAATGGACGCAATTTTCATATGGTCAAACAAATGAGTGACTTTACTCCCTGTCGTCAGCTATCTAATAGCGCCATTTTTGTGCATGTGGGATAAAAATACATTTTTTCGGGTTACAACTGCACTGTTAGAAAATTCTGTTGTGATTTTACAGCAAAAGTACAAGAAACAATTATCCATCAAAATAATAATGTAATTTTACTTTACTAAAGTGCTGTAAATTTACAGTATACCATGTATTTCGGAAATATTCCCTACTATTAATTCGGAAATTCTACCATTTGAATATTTACGTAAAAAATCAAAACTGTTTATATTGTTTTCTGATATGTTATAATAAAAGTAAATTAACTAAAAAAAATTTTTATTAGCATTTTATTATCATTATTACAGAAATGCGACGCCACGATTTGAACCCTTAGTTGCAAAGGTGGGCAGAAAAGCGTTAATCCGTTAATCGTTAATTAACTTCGTTAATTTTTTCGTTAACTATTTAACTTTTAAGTTAATTTTAAAAACAGTTAACGGACTTGTTAACTTCCGTTACATTTCTCTTTCGTTAACTAAGGTCCGTTAAATTTCTTTTTTTTTTAATTTTAATTACCCTACTAAAAATAAAGTCACAAAGCGACAGAAATTTAGTCAGAATCTCTGATGATTTTAAACTGCTTTTGTTATGATTGCAGCCACAGAACATCAGACTTAAGTCATATGTTTAAGCATAAAAATTCAAAAGTAGTCAGGTTTTTTATACAAAGTCGACACCCTCTTTTACCTGGAAAAAGGTCAACTGACAGTCATAAAATTGAAGGAAAATCTTTTTATTTGTTTACGTTTATATTTATTTAAACATTATACTTGTTTTTCATCGACTTAGAATTCTAACGTTATGTTCTTATTATTTATACAATACGCTGGGTTAGTGGAAAAAAAGGACACCTCGAATTTTGGTTGAAAAAGAGGACACCTCGCATTTTAGTTGAAGAAAAGGACACCTCGAAAATATTAATTTTATATCAATTCTCGTTTGGCGATACTATGTGTAATGTAATTGTTTTTTGAGTTTTTGTAATAGAAGATTCAAGAACATATTATCTTCATAGTTTTTTGAGCACAGAATCTCATAAATCAATTAAATTACACAAATTATCGTCAAACAAAAATGCATTTAAAATTAATATTTTCGAGGTGTCCTTTTCTTCAACTAAAAAGCGAGGTGCTCTCTTTTTTAACCAAAATTCGAGGTGTCCTTTTTTTCCACTAACCCATTGAATATCCTTTAGAACTTAAATTCAAAAATGATATTCTTTTTTATTTATCAATTACGGTTTTCGAGATACGTTACAGTTTCCTTAAAAAATGTTTTTATAATAAATTTTAGATATTTGTAATCGTGGAGATTTTTAGATTCTGAATTTATATTGATTTCACTTGAATGTTAAAATTGCAAAACTTTTGAGCAATAAAAATCAGGTTGGAGACCCCCGAAGCTCATAACAAAAAACCCACGATTCTATTGTGAAAAAAGGGATACGCACAAATTTGAAGTTTTAACGGTACTTTACATTTACCCACTATATTTTGGTGGGGGCTAAAAATAAAAAAGATGAATTCAATGAGAAATAATCACAATCCATAATAATCAGGATTCAACAGGAGCATAAAAAACCCTTTAGTCAGAATTAACCAAAAGCTTTAGAAAACGTTAAAGTAGTCACAAAACATCAAATTTTCTGACGTTTTCTTATTATTCCTGATTTTATTTTTAGCAGGGTATCATAATAAAAATATTTTGTCGAAACTTTAGTTGTTTATGAAAGTAAACATGTGTCTCTTAGATTTGATGTAAAAAAATAAAAATTAATGAAAAAGAACATTTGTTTTTTTGTACATTAGAATGCAATTACGAATTTTTTTAAATTTATGTTAACTTTAACGGTTAACGTTAACTTCCGTTAATTTTCTTGTTCGTAAACGGATTAACTATTAACGAAGTTAACTTTTTCACTTAACGAATTAACGATTAACGACGTTAATTTTTAGGTTAACGGTGCCCACCTTTGCTTAGTTGTATAGTGTTGTCCGTGTTGTCTATGTCTTGTATGGAGCCATCAACCTTGGGAGCTGCGCCTAGACGCGCTCGACCAAGAGAGGCTATGAAAGTCTCTTGCAAAGTATTATGTATATTGGCCCGACGCGAAATAGTCATTATAATAATCAAATTATTTATTATATGAATGTTGAATGACTTTTCTTCGATCGACAGTTAAAAATGAATTAATTTAATGTAATAATCGCAAATTAATAAGGAATAAAATATTATCTTTTTGTCAAATTATAAAAATTAATGTTATATTTATTAAAATCATACATCTCCAAACTAAAGAAAAGTTTAATTAAAATTTTGCATAAGACAAAAAATAAAAAAAAACTAAATCTGTTACAGTATCAAATATAAGAAACATGTGTACCATACTCTATTTTTCTTTTCAGTCTGAAATTATTCACAACTAAAATGCTATATATAATTAAAAAATAGTTTTTATTGAAACTATTTTTAAGCTTAAAAATAATTCAGCTATACTTTTAGGACTTAAAATCATATTCACAAGGTTAAAATTCAGTCAATGCTAGTTATAATGTAAAAAACCTCAGCTGAAATCACAAAATGAATATCTGTAAAATTCTTTGAGTTTTATACTGTGATTTCGCAAACAATTTACTGTAAATAAAAAGTACAATTTTTTTTTGCTGTGAATTATTCAAATACAATGAAATTTTGCTGTATTTGTAAGGTTTTACTGTAAAAATTACAACATTTTTGTGAATTTATTACATGTATGTGTTATTACAGCAAAAACTGTAAATTCACAGTACGTTTGTACTGTAAAGTTGATGTAAAATTACAGAAATTTCTAACAGTGTGGGTACCTCCTTTAATAATTCTAACCTTGTGGGCAAAATGCTGTAAAGTTATAAAAAATTTTCGATATTGCATGAGTGCTTGCGTTTAATATTTGCATATGAAAACCTACTTGTGCTACTGGCTTTTTCGGTCTTGACGTATAGTAGTCTGTCTCTGCCGTTAACTTTTTAGGCGGCTGCCTTGGCTTATTATATGAACGAGCTTCTCCAATATCTTCAATGTACTTCTGTTGCTTAGATGATTTTAATCTGTACTGAAGGGAAATTTGATCAATGTCAGATCGACTCTCTGGAATTTCTTCATTTTGTTTGTGAGCTTTAGCTGATTTCGATTTATATTGAATCGATCCTTGATCGTATAAAGACCGATTCTCTGGAGTGCTCTCTACTAATCTTTGTTGCTTTGTGGGTTTTGATCTAAAATGAACTGTAGTTTGATCAGATCTAACTTCTGAAATGTCTTCAATTGGTTTGTGAGATTTTGCCTTATGAGGACGATATTGAACTGGAGGGATATTTTGATCCGGAAGCAAAGTCGGTTTTGTCACGGAGATGGTTGGCAATGGACGATACTGAACAGGGATTGGCTGTGGCGCCGGTGTAACAAGATTATTTGAAGTGGAGTGGAAGCTCGAAATCGAACCCGAATTAGACAGCAGTTGAACGACATCTTCATCTTTCTCATTTTCTTCATTTACAGGTTTTATTTCTGAATTTGAATGTAAGGACGAACTATCTTCTTCACTATCAGTATTGAGGGTTTGTTTTGATGCAGGAGGGGCTTGAGGTCGAAGATTTCTGCTACCGCCTCCATGTGTGAATACAGATACTTCATGTGGAATATCTGATGTCTGCGCAGGACGAGCTCTAAAAAGTAGATAATATATAATTAGTTTCACCTATCAAAATAAGTACAATTTACTTTTTCATAAGCTTTAACCCTTTAATGGCCAGTGGTACACATACGTACCACCTACTTCAAAAAATCATAACTTTCTTAAAACTTAACGGATCAAATCCGCTAAGGTCTCATTTTGAAGGGGTGAACGAGAGTAATAAATACATATGCTTCTCATTTTCCAAAAAACTACCCTTTCTGAAATACACCCCTTTAAAAAACGCGAAAAATGACAAAAATTGTAAAAAAGGTATAAATTTAAGAAAAAAATTCTTTTTCGGCTTACGCAGTAACAAATGTTTAAAAATATTGTAATCTTTGTAAAAAAAAATTAATAACAAAAATTTTCCTCGGGGTAAAAAGAAAATTAATGAAAACTACCCCCAAAAAACAAAACAATTTAAAAATCTACCGAATTTGCCTAAAATTTATTACTCGGGGGTTTTCGAGGTCGCTGATTACGAATCTGATGTCAGTTTTCAAAAATTCAAAATGGCGGATCCAATATGGCGGCCAATAAATTAAAAATTCATCATATTCGCCTGAAACTTGTTACTCGGGGGTTTTCGGGGTCGCTGATTACGAATATGATGTCAGTTTTCAAAAATTCAAAATGGGGGATCCAATATGGCTGACAATAAATTAAAAATTCATAATAATAACGGCAAAAAACTCGGCCATTAAAGGGTTAAACATGTCTGGCAATTTTTGTCATCCGATATTAATCCGGATAAATCTGAACTCTATACGGTTTGTGAACAACTAGTAAATCCCGAGTTGGTCGGATGAAGTCCGAAATTAATCAGTTAATTTTGACTAGTGAATCCCGAATTAGTCCGAAACAGTAAAAAATTAGACCGGACAATTTAGTGAATGTTAATAAAAAAAATAATTATTATTACACATATTAATTATCATTACTTTATGGTACATTCAACATATTTTTCGATATACCTATCGCAATTTTATTTACATTAACTTAAAATTTCTAACGCTTGGGGATTCGAACCTACACCTATCTAACATTATAGCGCACTGAAATCGAATACACTAACCACTATACCACGCTCGCATAGAATTTTAAATTCATAATAGAATTTATGAAGTGCCACGAAAAGAAATTACAAAAAACTAACACATCAGTGTTAATTATAATATTAAAAAAAGGTAAATAATAATACTAGTAAATTTGTAAAAACAAATTGACTGCAGAAGTAAATATTTTATCTATCATAAGTAAATACCTTGAACAAAAAGTCGGACCGATTTCGGACTAATCCGGAATTTGTCCGCAAGAGTACGGTTTACTGTGGAGTTTTTTCACCCTGAATTAAGTTTGAACTGAATACAGTTTTTTATAACTATTGAATCCGTAATTAGTCCGATTTAGTCCGAAGTTAGTCTGATAATATGCAACTTGCAAATGTAAAATTAGTCCGATTAAGTCCGGAATTAATCTGGTTATGGTCAGGTTTATGTCATACGAAAATATATTTATAGTTTAAATTTATCTGAATTTAATACAAATTGTTTTTAATATACAAATTCAATATTATACCAAAATCTTTGCATACAGATTTTGGATTGTTTCATACCTGTTTCGGATTAAATCTTTCAACTGGAATACTTTCGGATTATAGCCGACTGATTTCGTATTCTTTACATATTGATTTTGCATTATTCCGTATTTATTTTAGATGAATTTAGAATTTAGGATTTATAATTTCGCTCGGATTAACGTTAGATTGATTCAGATCATTTTCGGATATTTTTCGTACAATTATCGTCTTAATCCACAATAATATGTCCGGATTTAATCCAGATTAGTCCGAAATTTTTGCCTGGGATATAATATGATTCGGGTGTCCGACTATTTCCGGATTCTTATCATACATATTTTGGATTGTTTCGTATTTGTTTTGGAATAGGATTTTACCACACTAATTCAAAATTGAAGTGGACTAATGTCGGATTGTTTTCGTACAGATTTCGGATTATTTCGTATTTGTTTCGGATCATGCCTTTTAATTGGATTAAATCCGGAATATTTCAGCCAATTTTTGGATTCTTAGCATACAGATTTCGGATTGTTTCTGATTATGTCTTTCAATTGGATTAAATCCCAATTGTTGCAGACAATTTTCGGATTCGTTGCATACCGTTTTCGGATTGTTTCGTACTTGTTTCGGAATAGGATTTTGCAACACTTAATTTCAAATTGTTGCGGACTAATATCGGATTTCTTGCTTACAGAGTTCGGACTGCTTCGGAAATTTTACGGATTAAGTTTTTTTTAACTAGATTAAATTCGGATTGTTGCGGACTGATTAGGTATTCTTTATACATTGAATTCGGATAATTCCTTACTTATTTCAGAAGAATTCTTCACCGGTCATAAATTTGGATTGTTGCGGACTAATAACGGACTGAACTCGTAGACATTCAGGATTACTCCAGAGTGTTTTCGGATTCAGGTTTTCGTTCGGATTAATATCAGACTAGCGCGGATTATTTTCGGACCTTTTTCGTACAATTTTCAGACTGATCCGTAATAATCTGTCCGTATTTAATCCGGAATTAGTCCGAAATTTTTACCAGGGATATTAGATAAACATTATAGGGAGACATTATTTTAAATATGAAAAAGGGTAACCCATTCCATGTGTAGCTGAAATATTATAAACTGGAACAAGAATGCGTAAGACCTTTCATTGATTACCTGGAGTCAGATTTTCAAAATTCAAAAATATCAACAATTGTAAAATCAATAATTGTATGTTTAAACCCACACAGCTGTAAGTTTGTGGTATGGATTAAACGTACATGCTACCAGTCAGGTAGCAGTGTGTGGTCCAGAGGCGCTCACTGCTACCTGACTGGTATTATCCCTTGCAACCGCGCGCAGCGGCACTTATAGTCTCCAGGCCCTCAATTTTTCAATCCTTTTGAATTCCGAAATACTGTGTGGTAAGTCAAACTCCTGTACGGGAATTTTAAGCTGGGCATGAATAAAATTTTATAAGAAATATTTATTTTAAAAAAAGTTTTATACAATATTTTCTCCTTACTTAAATGTACAAAAAAATTTTAAGGAATTTTTAATAAAATGTATAAAAAAAGATTTTTTCCTCTTTTATTAAAAAAAGATTCAAATTTTATAAACAAATTTCTGAACTTAACATGGGAAACTTCCTGTAAATTTCCTGAAAAAAGCTATGCTATTATGTGCTGGGAAATCGTCAATAGTCGGTCCAATATCGGACAAATATTTTTATAATTTACTGTTCAAAAATGTCTACAGCCTACAATTCTTAACCGATTTGAGTGTTCTTTGTTTTAAATTAAAGGAGAATAAATTCTTAAAACATCCCTCGAGGCAAATTTTTAAAATTTTAATTGTTTATTTTTTTATTTTAATCAAAGTTAAGAAATTGATACAATTTTTTAAAAAAGAATGTTTTTTTCTAATTCCGTTACTGCACATGATCTGAATCAGTTCAAATTAATCCAAATAACCACCAGACAATTAATAAAACATAAAATAATTTATTTAAATATCTCCTATAATATTAACATATTCGTCGTCGTTTTGTCGTCCGTCGTTCGTGTATTTTCGTACTTCATCGTTCGGTCGTTCGACTTTTATCATTTATTCAGTGTCGTATATAAATATACTCATTGTACATACATATACGCATGCGCAGTAGTGTTCTATGAATATCAGGCATGCGCAGTAGTGTTCGGACAATGTTACGCATGCGCAGTAGTGTTCTGTCAGTATCACACATGCGCAGTAGTGTTCTATCACTATAACGCATGCGCAGTAGTGTTCTACCAATGTCAGACATGCGCAGTAGTGTTCTATGAATATCAGGCATGCGCAGTAGTGTTCTACCAATGTTAGACATGCGCAGTAGTGTTCTGTCAATATTACGCATGCGCAGTAGTGTTCTATTACTATAACGCATACGCAGTAGTGTTCTATCACTATATCGCATGCAAAGAACATTCAGAACTTCAAAATTTAATTTTTTAATCCACACACAATCTAAAAATTATTTTTCTACAATGCAAAATTTCCAAAGCCCAAAATGTCCAAAATATGAAATTTCCAAAATAAAAAGTGTTGAATTGTAATATAAGTGAAAAGAATTAGATTATTAAGTATTGAGATTTAACAATTCTATTTCTGTGTAGGATATTTTTAAAAAATCATTATTTTCAATGTTGTACGAAAATTTAAATAACTTCTAAAAACATGAACACTTTTTAATGATCTTAGGCTTACTTAAAAGGTTATTTTCTACAGAATGGGAAGTATTTGTAGACATTAACGTGTAATTTTTTCTTAGAAATTGCAGGTCGGCAAAGTTATACACAAAAATTTCAATTTGAAATAATTTTTTTATACAAAAAACTATTCTTCAAAAAATATAAAACATGATATGATGTATATTTTTCAAGAAAATTTAGTAAAAAAATATGTTTGAATTTTAAAAATTATTTTTCTGTTAACCCGTTACCTGTTAAAGACCGTTGGGTAGTAAACTTCTTAGCGCAAAATAAATGCAATTTTTTATGTAAATTATAAAATAAATTGTTTTATATCATTATTAACACACTATTGATTGCAATGATCCTAAATTAAGTAATAAATAAATTATTATTTATTATTTTTAAATAATATAACAATTCAAAAACAAGTAAAATTTATTTTTAATTTAAGTCACATTTAGTGTATAAGGGTTTTTGGAGTCGGTGAATTCGAATTTGACCTTAATTTTAAAAAATTCAAAATAGTGGACATAATTTTTAAAATTCATTTGGATTTTTATCAATTTCAGTATTTAGGGATATTTTGGGTTGCTGAATTTGAATTTGTCTTTAAAAATAAAAAAATATGAATTCAAAATGAGGGACGTAATTTTTTTAATTCATCCCGATTTTTATCAAATTTTGTACTCTATTC